GTATATATATATATCATATAGTCAATATCCATCATATAGGTATATATATATATATATATATATAATACATTAGCAGAAATGCGTGATATATGCTCTGTGCAACAGGAAAACAGGAAAAAATACTTCAAATATAATTCACCGACTCTCTTAGGAACTTACAGGGTTCTTAACTACTTGTATGTCCGAATACTTATTTAGATATTACCATGTTTTTCACGTGGGCGGCATACTGCTTGGATATTATAGAGGCAGGAGCTGTGACACACCAAAAAATCGGAAGCAAACAATATAATAACAACAACAAATAGAAATACAAGCATATCAGCTATTTGACGAAGTCTTTATATTGGAAGTTTCTAGAAACCTGGTTACCTTAATCCATTGAAATTGCTCACGTCCATATTAAAATAGCTATCACGTCTATATTACTAACCAAAACATTCCTTCAAGAACGTGACCTGCCTTAAAGAACAAATATTTAGCATATAAAACACAAAGTTGAACACAAAAAACTGTGTTTCATCATAAGGAGTATAAAAAAAACAGTTTGTGATACAATGGGACGCACGATGCATGTTTGAGAATATGTTGTTTGGTTGGTTGTTTTTTAGAGCAACGTCACATTGGGCTACCTGCTATGCCCATCGTGGGGAATTGAACTCCGAATGTTAGCGTTGTAAGTCTCTAAACTAACTGCGGATTGGAGAATATGTACCTGCAATCCTATAAACTCAACAGGCATGAAGAAGAATGCCCAATTTCACTTCCAATCACATATGTAAGATTTTTATTTTTCCATTACAATAATACTTCTACAGGAATTGCACGTGTAAGATTTTTATTTTTGCATTACAATAATACTTCTACTAGGAATTGCACGTGTAAGATTTTTATTTTTGCACTACAATAATACTTCTACAAGTGATTGTTACAGGATTTTTTTTAAAAGGCGGGACACAGAAAATATAATGCATAAATGATTTCTACCTTCAAAATCTGAAAATGTTAGTTTTTGTAGTCGTAAGTAACCTTTTTAAGAGACAACATAAACAGCAATTCAAGGCTCAAAAAAACTTGCCGAAAAACTTGCTCTTGTGCGTGAATTCCTGCAATAAATAACCCAATTAGAACTGAAAACCTTTATCAAAGTAAAGTTACATCATTCGACAAAAAAAAAAAAACTTTGTCACAACACTAACATGAAGAGAAACATGTGGTTAATAAGAAAAATAAGATATACACCAGTAGATTTTGTAAAAATCAATCGGGTCTGGATATATAAACTATCTAAATCCCCCATTAAAACTACTTTTTGTTTGATTGTTTTATAGAATTTTCGCTCATAGCTGCACGTGGAGCTGTAGCCGAGTATGGTAGTCTCTAATTTTAAACTGGTAGACCAGTCAACAGCGTCCCTCATCAACAATTTGTCTATCCTTGTTTGACCTAATAGTGTGATTTGAATGTCACTCTTATAGAATACCCGTGATTCTATAAGTGTAACACATTTTGTGCCAACGGTACGCGAACCATGAACCCTCGGATTCACAGTTCAGGCAGACTAAACAACTGGATTACTCTACACTGCAGTAACCTTCATCAATTAAATATAACTTAATAGATGGAAGAAGAAATAATAAATAAACTTAGTATTCCGAAAAGTGTTTCATTTCGAAGTTCAAGGTAGGTCCAGTTCAATCTTTTGATCAACGTGTATTATTGGGTTATACTAGTTTCGGGGAATTCCACTCCTCATCAATGGCTTTGCTCTAAAACAAACAAATTCATATATTAAATTTCATGCGATTTTGTATGGCAGGCTTAAAGACCTTCGAAGTACAGCTTATTAAGTAGATATTAATGACTTAATAAGCTTTAATCCATCTTTAATCTATATCATGCGATTAATGATTTAATAAGCTTTAATCCATCATTAATCTGTATTATGAGATTAATGATTTAATAAGCTTTAATCCATCTTTCATCTATATTATGAGATTAATGATTTAATAAGCTCTAATCTATTTTTCATCTATATTATGAGATTAATGATTTAATAAGCTCTAATCTATTTTTCATCTATATTATGAGATTAATGATTAAATATACTTTAATCCAGTTCCAAATACTTATTTGAGTACTGTGTTGTTAACATAATGTATTTCCTAATATTGAATAGAAAACAAGAAACCTCTAGGAAAAGAAAAGAGCCATTAGCTTTAATGTATCCTTGTGAATACTATAGCACTTGCCCCCCCCCCCCAGTGGCACAGCGGTATGTCTGCGGATTTACAACGCTAGAAACAGGGTTTCGACACCAGTGGTGGGCAGAGCACAGGTAGCCCATTGTGTAGCTTTGTGCTTAAAGTACAAACAAATAATCTGTAGTCAGTTCCATTACTCATAATTATGCAATTAATTAGAAAAAGAAACTGTTCTAGAAAACAGAAACGTAAGTTTCATAAAACAAGTTTGAAGTATTTAAATTTGTGAGTAATAAATAATGGATGTATTAAATGGATGTATTAAATGGATGTATTAAATAATGGATGTATTAAAACAACTTTTGAACTAACGAATTAACTAACAGATTACACCGCGTTACTTAAAGCCTGACGAAGATCAAAGCACTTTTGAAGACGACAAAAACTGAAATAGACCTAAACGATGATTTTACACACACAAAAAAAAGGGTATTAAAATAAATGGAAAGATTTGTTTCAATAAAACTACCACATGTAAAGAAATGTGTAAATACTTTACAGAAAACGTTAACGTGGATTCCAACAACGAGGAATAACAAACGAAATTTTGGAGAGAAAAAAAAAGAAGAATGCATAAAAACCTTTCGTAACATCAAGAAGAAGAAATTAATCTCATCAATGTTATCTTAACTTCTAAAACTCGTATATAGTAGAGCTGTATTTTTTTATATTTTTGCCAAAAGAGCATAAATTCATCCATTTTCATTTGCGGTTCACCTACCGAGGTATTTTCTTAGTCTTAGAAAAATGGCTATAGCAATTCTAATAGCACCAGAAACATCTTAGAGAAGCCAGAAGTGATTATACATTTATTACAAAGCGTACTATGTTTAACTTGGACGTTGTTTCAGATTATCATTTGAAGAAGAAACCGACACTGTAAGGAGTAATATCGGAGATAACCGTAAGGAGTAATATCGGGGATAATGTTAGCACCATTCTTTCTAATTTCAATCTAATTTATATTTGCAGTAAGTTAGATAACCATGGATAATGAAATTATAATTTTAATTAGAGTGTTTCAAATTGTTCCTCCAACACCCACTACCCCTTACCCACATTAAGAATGTTTGGTATTTCTGAAATTTGCCTTCACTGCATTATAATGTGTTTTATTTGTTTATTTTCACTAAGACATAGGTCCAGCTTATCTCTCTTTGGTAAACTTGTGTTTAGGGTTACTGATGAGGAGTGAAATTCTCCGAAACTGGTATAACCCAATAACGCACGTTGACCAAAGTGTAGATTGAACTGAACCTCCCTTGAACTTAGACTTCGAGATTAAACAAATTTCGGCATACTGAGTTTATTTATTAAAATGTATAAAGTTGTTTTGTCACCTAGTACAGGCACAGAAAAGTATAACACAAGAGAAAGGCGTCCCTAAAAAAACAACCTCTAGAAGTAATAGAAGCCCTTGAAAAATCACGTCTGATTAATAAG